TAGTGTGAAATCCAACCGCGAACCATTTCCAGTTGGCAAGCGAGAAAGCCCCCTGAGACGTTCCACGCGTGTAATTCTATGCATATAAATACGATGGTGGGTAAATTGCCCCACAGCCAAGGTAGTTCGGCGTAAATTACAATGACACGAGTGCACATATGGCCCGGGACAGGGTCATTCAGTGTGTACAACTCTTGTTCGCCGATGAAAACGTGTTTTTTCTTCCTGAGAGTCAGTACCCATAAATTAGCCGGGTCTGAGTCACGGGTGAAACTATTCAACATTTCACATTATAAATTTACTGTGTTATGAGTTTCCATTTGTATCTATCCGATTTAAGACCCGGCGGACTTGGGGCATGTGTACCCCCCCCCCAACACGCACGCACATACTTTGCCTTCGTGGCCCATACACACTGCCGATAATGCGTCACTGCATGGTGGATCTCTAACTAGAAAATGTTGAGTGGAGAGTTCAACGCCAAATATAAGATATGGCGGGAAATGCATTCTAAATATGATATGTCCCATCCACCCACTGACGGAAAACGTAATTAGCTATGACAACGCCCCCTATCGGCTTATTTCGTCATAGATCGATAACACTGCGTCATCGAATAAAAATCATTGCCGGTCAACAACATATTCTAAGCTCATTCAGCAATCAGAAAAATTGTCAATTCATGTCTTGAATTTACATACCGTGACAAAAAGGAGGAAATAGCGGATGTTCCATCGGGATGATGGTATAGGTCGTTCCTAGGAAACGGCTGCGTGCTTGCAGCAATGTCGACCTAAACGCGTCACCCAATACAGCAGTGGAAACAGATGCAATACGTTTTATTTCCCCGTCCCGTCTCCTGAAATAATGGAACCATCTTGTAAATGATGGACTGGTTTTGGAAACAAAATAATAAAAAATACATTAATTTCATCCCATATGAATGGAACTGTTAAGACGATTTGTTTTACCGTTTTTGTATAACCAGTTCAGAATCTCTTCTTGTTCGGTAACCTTGGCGATATCGTTTACTGAATTAAACCTGCCAATATGGGTTTCACGACCATGGGAACAAAATGCAGTAAACGTGATTTGATTCGATGTTGTTAGCCGTCCTTCGTCGTAAACCACTGCTCGTATGCAATTAGTATTTGCACATCGATTTTTTAAATAACGCCGAAAATGAACTGGGAGTATGCGGTACCCGAAAGGGTGTCATTTAGAGCGTTTGTATTATTTACTCACGACAACGATTTTGTTGTCAACATAAAAAAGGAGAAAAAAATGTGAGATCGTATCAAACGCTTTGAAAGTCTGTAATGTGTGGTTATATGGTAATGGTAATGAAACTACACTTTAAACGGACGTTGTGTTGCCCCTGGTGACGGTTCTGTCAATATGATCAACCGAAAACGCTGCACTGAGCCCAAAGTCGATACTTGGATCAACACGGAGTCAATATGGCGCCTGTCCACGAGTGTATCTGTCTAATAACCATATGGATGTCATCCAAGTAATTTCTATTAGTGTCCCGACATGAACGGGGAGCAGTGACCTGGGAAAACCTGAATATACTAAACAATACAGAGTTCGTGTTTTCAGTTAAAAGCAAATACAAGTTAGAAGAAAATTATAATAAGAGAAAAATGCGTCAGTTTAACATTTTCAAAGACCACCCCATATCGTTCATTTTTACCGTTACCAGGAAACGTCGATTGAAGACAAAACACATATCGGCGCCAAAAAAATGTATTTGCAGACGACACCACAAAATTCGATATCGTGTAAAAGCATGTAATCAGCGCGGCATTCATAGTAGGATATTCAGCAACATAAAAGAATATTATTGGGAGCCTTTCAAAACCGCCTGCTGGGTTTCATATCACTGCATATTTTA